GTTGTTTCCCACTGAACTTTCTGACCCAAAGAAACACGGAAGTTGTGCATCCCGCTGGGGCTCCAAGCCCGGCCGGGTGCCCACCCTCCCACTGGCCGCCGGCTAGCGGAACGGGGCATGGGCGGCCCTGCCGCTCAGGGCGGACCCTGGGAGAGTAGGGCCCCTGTGTCCATGTGTCATCTAGGAGCTGCCTCGCGCTCTGACCAGTTTAATCAGATGTCACGTGACCAGCAGGGACGGTGTGCTCTCCGGGTTCACCAGGAGGATGTGGTCGTCGCTCCACGGTGTAAAGGGCCAGCTGCCGTGGCCAGATTGGATGCAGAGTGGCTGGGGCGGAGGCAGCTGGTGTGGCACGTAGGGTCCGAATCTGGGATTCCGTCGAGGTCAGAGGTCGCCGCTCTGGGGCTCCATGTTGCGCGTCGTCTCCCGGGGGTGACCGCGGGAAAGCTTGGGGAAGCGGGAAGGCCCTTTGGGCCGGCTGTTCTTGTTCAGCGGCTCTCCGGGAGGGGTGATGTCACTGTAAGACAGAGCAGGGAGAATCTCATTAAGCCGGGGCTCCCAGTGCAAATGGCTGCGGGGCAACATGCCCCATGGGAGCACGGCAGGAGTGGACGAAGAGGGGACAGTGCTGCCCGGCTCTGAGCGGTGAGTGTGACATGGAGAAATGGGAACTCCAGAGTTACGTAAACTTTCTGTCTTTGAGAAGCACCCGGGCGTAGCAGTGGGCTGAAGCTCGTGCGTGGGGCCGCCACTTCTGGACCCCTCTGAGGCCGGGACAGAGGACACTGACGTGCCTTGCTCCGCCTGCCTTGCGTCTCACTATATTCCAGCAAAGGCACATTTCACAGTCAAGGAGGAGAAAACGCTTCAGAGAACAGTGCACAGAAAGTTACACAAGACGTGACTTTATGTGGGATTCTTCCTGAGAGGAGGATCAGGGCGCCAAGGGCGAGCACCGCAGCGTGTGTAAAAGTCCACACTAGGGAGCAGCTTGCGAGCCCAGTGCAGGGCATTGCTGGGACCAGCCATCGAACAGGGCGTCAGGGGCCGGGAAAGACGACAAGGTAGCTACGCGTTTACTGACCGACAAAGACAAGTGCGGAGAACACGGGTTAAAACAGTAGGGAGGGCGCGACCCTGCCACATGGAGAAGAACCCTGAAGGCTGCGACCAGTCATTCCTTCACCCAGGACCCTCGTGAACACACACGTGGGCCAAGCACTGTTCTAGGCACTGGGGGTGAAACAGTGAACCAAGCAGATCCTCCCAGGGTTACAGTGTCATATCCCAAGCCTGTAAGTTACAAATGCAGCCAGACCCTCCCCGGGAGGCAGGCCTGCGGGGCTGAGGGGAGGCCTGGGTGACGGTCGCGTGGTGCTCAGGGTAGCAGCACCTTGAGTGAAGGTCACTGCCGGAGGGCTCCAAGCTGGGGAGCCAGTGTCTGCTCGCATTCTGGGTGACGCCTGCCTGCCGGGGGGAGCGGGCGGGAAGGGCAGTGGTCTGGCCCAGGGGGCACGCACGGAGCCTTGCTGTGCCCGACGCAGAGGTGGCACGCGGTCGTATTTCCCAGGGCCACTCACCGAGTGGCTTACGGCAACAGTGTACTGTCCTACAGCTCGGGGGCTCCAAACGGGTCCTTCAGGGCTAAAGTCAGTCAGGGTGCAGGCCGGGCCGGGGAGAAAGTGTCCTCGCCATCTCCGGCTTCTCGAGGCGGGCAGGCCCTCCGCTGGGGAGCCAGCAGTGTGGCATCTCCAGATCTTTCTCTCCCTCTTCTAAGGACCCCGTGCTCACACCTGGCCTGCCTGGGTGGCCTCCCTTTGTCCGAGACCCTTAGTCACATCTGCAGAGTCCCCTTTGCCATGTCAGGGGACACATTCATGGGTCTCAGGATTAGGAAGTGGACATTTTGGGTGTCATTCTGTCTAGCACACAGATTTTTTTTTTAATATCACTTAACTTTGTATCACTGAACAGCCCACAATCCAATGAACCTTTGTGAATCTTTTGGTTTGAATGGCTTTAAAGTACAGCAAAATATTTCATTGGTGGCCTAGATGCTAATGTGTTCATTTTCTTTTTTTAAAAACTTTTTAAATTTATTTTTAATTACAGTTGACATACTATATTATTAGTTTCAGGTGTACAGTTTTCATAGTTGATATACAATATTTGATTTTCAGGTGTACAACATAGCGATTAGACATTTATATATCTTACAAAGTGATCACCCCGATGCGTCTCGTCCGCACCTGACACCAGTTGTTACGGTATTGCTGGCTGTGCTCCCTGTGCTGTGCTCCACATCCCCGTGACTTTGCACATCTCGATCCCTTCGCCCATCCTCCCACCTGGCAACAATCAATTTCTTCTCCGCTTCTGTGAGTTTGTTCATTTATTTTGTTTTGATTCCACAGATTAGTAAAGTCACACAGTATTTGTCTTTCTCGGCCTGACTTATTTCATTTTGCATAATACCATCTAGGTCCATTCATATTGCAAATGGTAGGATTTCATTTTCTTAATGGCTGAATAATATTCCATTGTATGCACGTACCACCTCTTCTTTACCCAGTCGTCTGCTGATGGGCACTTGGGTGGCTTCCATGTCTTTTCGAACTAGTGTTTTGGTTTTCTTCGTATAAATACCCAGAAGCGGAGTTGCTGGGTCATAGGGCAGTTCTTCTCCACAGCGGCTGCGCCAGTTTGCAGTCCCATCACCGGTGCACGAGGGTGCCCTTCTCTCCACGTCCCCGCCAACAATGGCTGTTCGTTGCTTTATTGATGACAGGCGTGAGGTGATAGCTCATTGTGGTTTTGATTTGCATTTCTCTGATGATTAGTGACGTCGAGCATCTTTTCAAATGTCTATTGACCATCTATTTGTATGGCCTCTTGGGAGAAATGTCTATTCAGGTCCTCTGCCCACTTTTTCATTGGGTGGTTTGGTTTTTAGTTAAGTTGTATGAGCTCCTTGTGTATTTTGCATATTGGCTCCTTATCAGAGGTATCACTGGCGAATATCTTCTCCTGTTCAGTAGGCTGCTTTTTCGTTTTGCTGATGGTTTCCTTTGCTGCATAAACCAAGATTTAAATAGGCAGTTAAAGAGTACGATTGCAGCTGGTCAAAAATATCAATGAGACATAAGAAAAAAACCTTGTATATCTCACTGGTCCAAAACGCTTTTAAGAAACAAACCCAACTAAGGTTAAAGTACATCCTCATGTCCCACGTGGCTCCAGGCCAGGGGCTTTCTGGGGGTGAGCCCTGAGCCACACCGCCCTCTGCACGGGCAGACGCAGCCCATCTAAAGAGAACACCGAGGCTTAGGGAGGGATCATCCCACCTGGGATCATCAACACCTGGGATCATCCCAGCCCAGTCCAGGTGAGTCAGGGAAGGAGTCGTACTCAAAAAGAAACCGTGGCCCCTGCCCAGGGGGCCCTGCCGGTCTCTGGAAAAGCCCACTCCTTCCTGCTTCTCAGGAGGGTTCTATTCATGATGACCTGACTGCCACACCTCCCCGGGGGGCTGCCAGCGAGATGCCCCCTGTTTATAGTTCAGGATGGCATCTCGATAAGATGACAAAATGCAAAAGCCCTCCGAGCATCGCCTTCTCCCTTGGGAGTCTGGCTGTGCTTTGTCTTCTGTGCGTGGAGGCAAGGGGAAAACATCTGACCTTGAACAAAGTGGGAGCCGCCCGTCCTCACTCTGCAGCCAGTCCAGCTGCTCCGCGGCACGGTCCTGCGGGACGGCCCTTGGGCGTGTGCCCAAAGCGAACAGGACCCTTTCTGCTTTGGAACCGCCCACATTACCCAAGCCTCCTGACCCCAAACGCCCCTTACAGGATGGGTGGGAGATGCTGCGAGGACACTCTGCTCGCACTGTGTGGTGGGCTTGGATAAGAATGGTGGTCCAGCCGGCCACCCCGAAGCCTGTTGCTGTTGCCATCACAGCATGACACGCAAGGCCGGGATGAGCCCTGCTTGCAATGACCAAATCCTGTTGGACCCTGGAGATAAGTGGCTCTTAGGAGGGAAAGTCACAAGTCAGCGGCCAGGTCATTTTGTTTTTCAACAGACGGCACCGACAGGGCGGGGCGACAGCCTAGTGTCGGGGGCCGGGCCGGGCAGCGAGCCAGGATGCCCGCGTCCAGGCCTGGCCCTGCCCCCAGCGGGCCGTGCACCTTGCTGTCTTTGATTCTCGTTCCCTGGTGTGTCACATGGGCTGACGATCCCACAGCCCTCACGGTGCCACGAGGACTCGAGTGACCCCCATGTGAAGCCACTTTTCAGCCGCATTTTCTTAGATGGGTGCCTTGTCCCCCTGGATATAATAAAGGTAGGGTTGTTTTGAGCCTTATAGGGGTAAAGTGCCTAGGACAAGGCCTGGCCACGGCAACCACTCACAAACTGTGAGCTACGTTGCCAAACACCGTGCCATGCATTGAGGGGCACAGAGGTTAGCACCAGCTTGAGGAGCTCACAGTCCTGTTGGGGAGTGGGCAGGGCAGGGCAGGGCAGGCCCCAGAGCAGACCATGATGCTTCAGTGTGGTCGACATGGTGCCATGAGCAGGGCACCACACTTGTTCACTGGGGAGGGCAGGGAGGGCTCCCTGGAGGAGGGAGGGCAGAGGTGAGTTGGATAGCCCACCATGACGAGGGCCCTCTGGGGGGACGTGTGGGCCTGGAGCTCGGCAGACACGGCCAAGCTCTTCACCCACTGGGAAGGCAGGATTCACCTTGTGGGTGTAGGGCTAAGTGTGGGATGTCTGTCAAATGCCCATGCCTAGTGCTTGGGGACAGTGATAGTCCCTCGGGGCTGGAGCGGGCCAGTGTGCTACAGACAGCTGCATCCTAACGGACCCAGCAGGCAGGGCCCGGG